GACGCAATGGAGCTATTTAATATTTAAGGGCGTCACGTGCCAGGTACCCGCTTGATTATTCGGACCTCACCTGCAGCACTTGCTTTTATCTGACAAAACCATGGAATTTCAAGCTTGAGGCTCTTTCCTTCCAGTCAACATAACTTCTAGAGTTTCCTCCATACTATTCGTTGAGAATGTGACTTGTACTGCGCCCCTTGTTAAGCATATTTACTGGTGCCTTCATGCTAGGATAGTACCCCGGGCTTCTAGAGGTCGCCCACTCATGAATAGGGTCCCAGTCCACGCATTTTCGTTGAGATTTTGACTTATAGTTGATGTTCTCCGGCGCGTCGGGGCTCATACCAAATGTATATAGCGCGAGGTTTGGTGAGCATTTCATATCTTCGATGATGACACCTAAACAATGCACTTCTAATTATTAGCATACCGAATCCTCGATTACTCAGACTGAACGAGACGTTCTGCAAAGGAATTTCTGGGCTTACATGCATGGCCGATTGCCTCCTGTCTCTCTTCAATGGTGCGATTCGGAAAGTATCTCTCCTCATGGAAGTGCCAATACATCCTCCGCTGTCTCTATCCATCAGTATGTCTAAGGATTCAACATGCCATGAGATTGAAATACCAAGCAGTGGAGATTGTGGTACACGCCTAATGCACCTAGGTACCCCTCAAAGTCCATGAAGCGCATCGTGTCGTCTGGATTCTCCTTAGACATCTTAACCTCGTCCTTTTCTGCAACAATATATACAGCTGGCTGGTCTTAGAGAGGAGCTTTATTTGAAAAGACACGCAGAAGGGTACAAACTTACGCTTTATAAGTCTGTCCCAAGCAGCATCAACCGCATCTGACGGATGCTCTGTGTAGACCGAGTGTAGATCTGGGTTGGCATTCTTTATCACGTACTGAACTAAATGAGACGCAGGTGCTGATATCCTTAGTTTACAGTAGGTCAAGGACGGATCTCCACTTACAATACGGAGTAAAATCATGCTTTGCTCGTTCAATATGTTCAAAAATAATGATTCCAGTTACAATAATCGTATAGATCACGAGTGTCAGAGTATATTTGTTGATCCTACTCAAGGTCCTTTTGTGTTGGACTTGGTCTGCGTGATCGTGATATTGAGACAATTCATCCTCATTCAGAAGAGAGCTATACTCTTTGGTGCTAGGCGCCATTCTTGGGAGGTATCTGCTGTGGTGGTTGGAAACTATTAGTGCCTCCGGTGCCCTTTTAGAGTCCACTCATCAACTACAAAGGATGTAGGATAGACTCTGACAAGAAACCTCAGATTAGGCAACTATGCAGCGGGACAAGGCAACAGAGACCAGCATAACCTCATTTATTCCGAGATGGCACATTCCAATTTCAGTCATTGGGATCACATACATGTCATATTGCCACCCTACCAAGAGGTGATCGCCAGAGTGGGCGGGAATTACTCGCACCGTTCTCTAGGCAAACGCTTGGTCGAACTTCATTGACCCCTTCTAGATAAGATATCCTTGTATGTAATAAATCGCTCGGGCCCCGAGCCCTGACATCAAGCGGCGAAGTGCAGAATTGTCACTCACACGGACAACTTGTCTCGGAGCGTTCTATCCCTTGAAGTCTTGTGGACCTTCGGCACTTCAATTCAATGACATGAGTCGAAAGATACTTATAGAGCACTCTATCAGCCCACTTCCCTCTGGATCCTCAGATTCAACATTATTTTACTTGAACACAGTCTGACACCCTCTTCATATCACCAAACGAGATTTTACGGGTGACACAGTCCTCACGACAAATATGCATCTAAAATCAATTGCAACCACTTTCTGTGTCATTATGGCCATGACATTTGCTCTTCCTAGCCAAGGTAAGGCAAAAACGCTTTGAATTCCAAGTAAATGAGAGTTAACACTCACGCAAGGTCCTGATGTGGACGACAAAACTGGCGAGCTAAGATGCGTAGACCCACAGCCAAGTGGACGCCCTGATGGTCTACCGCCTGATGCTGTGCTTTTCACCAGGCTTAAGGGTGCGGCTGGTTTATGTGATGAAGAAGCTAGAGGCTACTAGGGCTATTAGTTATGTGTGTCATGATCATACAATGATATCGTAGACTGATTGCACGGATCTTGTTAATGAAGTTCGATGGCCTTGTATTGACCGAAACGTGATCTTTTTATAACCCCAAAACCCACTTAAGAGTCGTTCCACAATAAATTTACCAATAATATAATAATGAAAACTCAAGTGAATATCAATCTATGTTACCTAGGCTTGTTTCGCGTGTATACCATCGCTAGAATGTACTTTGTGTGTCTCAGCCCGGCCACGAACCATCTCCACTTAGCCACTTCCTTTTTCGCGAGCCAGATACCAAATATGATATTTCGGACGATCTGAAAACTTGTCAGGAACTTCCAAATCACGCTCGCGAAGTAACCTAAACCCAAGCTTTTGGTACAGCTCTTTTCCCGGGAAGCTTGCTATGACCGTGATCTACATCGTTTAGTAATTCTTCTTTTCCCATTTCTAGAAAACCTACAGATGCTTGTTCTCTATTGGCAACAGTCATTCCCGACTTAGTAAGCTTGGTACCAATTTTCTGTCGTTGGTAATTCGGATCAACCGCCAGTACAATGAGCCCTTTGATATGTAGTTCAGTAAAAAGCAACAACAAAAAATAATGAGCACTCACTTAATATGGGCAGTCCATTTTGAGCCCAATAACTCTCATCATCCTCTCCACCTGAGCTGAACAATGCCTGTCCGTATTCCTTTTCTGTTTGATTCTCCCAAGTACCTTCTGGGCCGTCGAGCGGCGCTTTGGTTGGCTTCGCATCCTTATGTAGCGCCCACATCGTGCCCCCAATGATTTTTCCACTTTCGTCATCAGTGGCTTTCTCCCAATAAATTTCAGGGACGATCTTCGTGAGAAACAAAAGCCTTTGATAGTTTATCTCTAATCCTTCGTCGGTGAGGCCACGAGGAAAGCATGCGTTGATGTATGCATCTTTGCCTTCGTATGCCTTGAACATGACACGAAGAACCTCACGTATATCTTCCTGGCTTGCTGGTGCTATGGTGACTGTCATATTGTCGTTGATATGATGACGAACCTTTTGGTAGATTCCCGGGGCGTGAGAGCTTTATTCTTTATCTCATTGGGAATGTTTTGTACTACGTGTGTTATGCTACACCACTCAAATATATTCTTGTCGGCGTCCGAAGATATAGTTTTAAGTTTATTGCTTTATCGTTAATAACCGAGTATGTTACGTTCGCAAGGCAACCTTTGCCTTATTTCTGTTCGAGACCCGCGCGACCAAATTCTGCCCCCTTGCAGATCACGGTAGATAATCGAAAGATTCGATGACGAAGCTCATTGCATGCCCGTTATATCGAATTGTCTTATCTGACGCAAGAAACCCTAATACTGCCATATTTGGAGGTCGACTCATACATCGCTGCGGGGAAACTCCCTGGCATGGATATTGGTAGACAACGAATCAGCGGCCTGCGTGTTTCATCTACCTGCAAAATTGAAATATTATCTCATCACGTTATTGAATCCTATGTTGAGGAAATTTCGAAATAATCTTTTCAGGCGCTCCCATACTCTACTTCTCCTCATTCAACTGTCTTGGGAATTGCTCAAATGAAAACTCCGAATCTGTAGGATTTGAAAGTGTGACGACCCAGCAGTTCCTGTTTCATCAACATCGCTGACTCCAAATTTGTCTTGCACGTCGCCTACTGTGAAACCAGAGTGCAAATTCTTGATGACGGGTACCAGAAAGGGCAAACATGTTGCTACAATTGTTGACGTCGCTATCAAAGCAGAGCAGATCGTGATCTTCCAATTCCCTGTGATCGGATATTCGGCTGAGGGTACATGGTGCTGTAGCAAGAAATGGATCTTAAATGCGACTGGTACAACTAGTCTAGGGTAAAAGGTCAGTCTACGGAGTCTATGTAGTAAAGAGAAAAATGTCAAGTTACATCACTCTCACTGATAGAAGGGACATGAGAAGATATTTCTTCTTAGACATCTGTAGCTGCGCCAGAATAGCGCACATAACAGCGATAAGTGCACAATTCATGCAGGTATTCAGGATTTCAATGCTCGACCACAGGGCAATCTTTGAAAGTCAGCTTTGAATCATTAGCACACGATTGCTTACCAGATCAATGCATCTTGACCCAAGGGAGTCCCACGGATTAGGCAGCGTGCACTGAAATGCAATACTGAAAATTGCAGAACTACATCAGAGAATTTAGTTGACGACCTTAGTGACAAAGATGGGCAGAATTCGACATACAGGATCCAGGTTATGTTGAGGAAACAGACCGCCATGAGTAATCGCAGATATCTTTTCGTAGGCTCCAGCATGATTCCACAAACTATTGCCGCCATATTCGCTGAGCCGATCGTACACACGTACATGAATTGAGAAGTATATCCTAGCTTCGAAGCTTTTAGAAGGTCTGCTCAATAATTTTGAGAATTTCACTAACTTTCTCTACTCGCACTTGGGAATCAAGGGTCAGGTCAAAGAATGGGCTTCCCATCCCGAAAGCAACCTGCTGTGAAAGAAGGACGTTAAAAATGGTAGCAAAACTCTGAATGAAAGTTAGTTACATATTTAGATATACACTCAATGCTTGTAATACTCACCAACGTTAAAATTAGCAGAAAGTCGTCGAGGTGAAGCTGGTAGAACTTTGCACCCTTTTTTCCACGGCTCATTTTCATCCATATCTTTGAGATAACGCACAATGCCGAGAATAAGTAGCATATCCAGCATGCGATATCTACTGCCGGTCCTTGGTGGCTTGGGCTAATTGTATTGCCAGGCGAAGTCATTCTTGGGGCCTCAATGCAATGTAATGATCAGTAAAAGAGAGAGCAAAAGGACAGACAACATTTGTTTCACACAGAGATGAGAGAATCGTCTGGTTCCTTGAAGCCATTTCAGAGTTATGGTTAGGTGACACAACAAGGCAAACGAGGCAACTGGTCATGAGGCGTGGCAGCCACACCTTGCAATATCAGCCGGAGTCCGACGTACCCAAAGTAGCAATTAAATCAACGATAGGGTGTCACAAAATTTCACGAGATAGCAGGATAGTCAATCATTCCCTTCACTCTGCCGATCTTTACTACGCGCGGAGACACAAGCAGTATGATGCCTAATTCCCCATCGGCGGCAGTAATCTAAAAGAGCTGTGCCGCCTAGCGCCGGAGTTCCCGAAAGGAACCCTGGGGATTGGGATCATGGTTAAATTCTAGCGAGAGAACGATCCCTTCTAGACCTATTTCAATCTACTATAAGTTCTCGTCATCGTAAAGCAGACTCGATTCAACAGCAGCATACGATTCTCGACAAGATGGATACTGCTGATCTTCAGGAGCATTTTCGCAGCGAGGTAGATGTGCTAAAGTCAGTAGACAAGAGTATCTATTCTTCGAAGGCTGGTTCGTCCCGCACACAGAGTGATGAGCAGTTGTTAGCACGTTTTGGCAAGAAACAACAGTTTAAGGCAAGTTATGTACATGAAAGGCTTTTCAGAAGTGTTGAAGCTTACAGAAGCAGAGGAATTTCAATCTTCTTACAGTAGTTGCACTATGTACCACTATTAGTACGCTCCCACCTTTTCATCAGGCGCTGCAGTGAAACCCAGAATTGATCTCTGACAAACCTAGCAAATCCGTGGGCCGGTTTACTCACGTTAGAACTCTAAATGCAGCAACAGTTAATTGATACTAATATAAGGACAGCGGCATACAACTTGCACTTTTTAACGGTGGTTCGACTGGGATTGTTATATCAATACCATTAGTATTCTTAGGAGTTTTGATGCAAGCGCTCGTGGTCGCTGAGCTCTCGTCAATGTATGAACCTATATCCTAGCAAGGCAATCCACTTACGCAATCAGGATTCCACTCTCGGGAGGTCAATACAACTGGGTCGCCATACTTGCATCGAAACGATACTCCAACTTTTTATCCTATTTCACGGGATGGATACTTATTGTCGCGTGGCAAGCTGGAGCCACCAGTGTTATCTACCAGGTCTCAAATGTGATTGTGACACTTGCTTACGCTGTTCATGCAGATACCGAGATCAGTGAGTGGAAAGTGACACTGGTGTTTTGCGCCATTATCGCATTCGCTGTGTTCGTTACTACAGTCCTTGGTCGCGTTCTTCCAGCGATTGAATCTTTCGCATTCGTCGTTTTAGTCATGGGGTTCTTTAGTATCATCATAGTGCTCGCCTACCTTGCACCAAAATTGGACAGCTCATCGGTATTCAACAATTATTTTAATGGTGGAGAATGGGCTTCAAACGGATACGCAGTAGCGATCGGATCTGTTCCATTCATGTACGGGTTTAATGGATTTGACGCTGGTGTTCACATCGGTATGTTATCGCTCTCATGCAGCCTGGATGCTTCAAGCTGACCGTCTGTTTAGCCGAGGAGGTACAAAATGCTGCAGTGGTGATTCCAAAGGCTATTATCATTACCGTTATCGTTTACTTTGTCATGATCTACTCCACAGCCATATCTGTACTGTACTGTTTCTCACTTGAGCAAGCTTTGACATCTCATTACTCAATACCAATCATCGAAGTGTTTCAGAAGGTCACAAAGTCGAATGCTGGTGCAGCAGCCCTTGTAAGTCAATGTTCGCATGAGGTATCGAAAACGCACAATGTTGATTTAGAAAAAAAAGGTCTCGCTTTCGATCATTATGTTGATATTTGGCTCTATTGGCTGCTTAACAACCGGATCTCGCATGTTATGGGCATTTGCGCGTGAAGAGGGGGTTCCGTTGTCACATTGGATTGCAAAAGTAAGTTTGAATGCTAATAAGGGCATTTTCAAGCTACAGAAAGTATAGTAACTGACACTGTGTTTAGATCGAGCGTCGATCAAAATTGCCACTTTATTCAATTGGTACCACTGCTATCATTTGTGTACCCTTTGCATTGATTGGCCTTGGCTCCGAGGCTGCATTCAACGCATTTACCGGTTTAACTCTGGCTGCATTCTACACGGCATTTATTGTGGCCGCTTCCACCCTGTTGTATCGAAGACTCACTACCTCAGCTTCTAATCTACCATGGGGCCCCTTCCGTTTAGGCCCTCTCGGAATTCCTATAACGATCATATCTATCTTGTACAGTCTGGTCAGCATAGTCTTCTCGTTCCATCCCCCAGTCGCCAAGGTCGAGGTTGCTACATTTAACTGGTCACTTGTTGTGTACCTTGGAGTTGTTTTCCTCTCTGTTGTCTGGTGGTTGGTCCGCGCAAAGCATACATATAAAGGACCAAAGATAGAAGTTTTAACCCAAGAATGGTTGAATATGGGCGTTGATACAAAGAGTAGCCTAAGAAATTAGTATGACATTAGACTTTGGTTTCTAGCTCGTGTGTGCGTAAAACTGCTTCCCTGCCGCCCGAAAATCAGCCTAGATACTGTCTCAGGAGACTTCTACCCATACACCTTCTGGCAGTCTAGCAGGCTTTGGTTGACAGGCGCCGAATCCTAGCTCCATCCCTTACAGTCCACGACAAAGGGATATTGAGCCAATGCCCATTCTTGAAACGCCAAGAGGACTGAACCTCCCGACCCAATGCCCATT